CGTGGTCAGCGCGCTTACGCAGACGCAGAAAGCGAGCTCGGCGCCGCGGACGCCGCGCGGAAGAGGCGGAGCCTGAACATCCGGTCGCCTAGGAGATCCGCTGCGCCTCGAAGGTCGCTTCCGGTAGTGGCCGCTTTTGAACGTTTTGGGGAGTCGGGGTCCTGTACCCACTCACTGAGCAAACAATACAGTTTGAGAAAATAAGGACAGATCTGAAAGCTTCTAGACACAGCAAGTACAATACGTTACAACAAGAGAAAAGTTAAATCCTTTTTAAAAGTGGAATTGATAGTGGTAGTGTTAATGGCTTAATATTTAAGACTGATGACTTTTAGTGTGACGAATGTCACAAATGGAGTGTACAATCTGGATTCCAACAGAAACGACTGTCTAGATTTTGAGGCTGGAGAATAGAACATATCTGATTCCTTTAAAATTATTGGTATTCATTGAAATGCCAATTTCTTTTAGAATTCTTTTTTTATGGCTTGCTGTGCATATGTTATTATTTCACCAACTCTTAGTTAAAAGGTTTAGCAGTGACATCACGTTCTCAGTTGTATAAAGAACATACACTGAATTGCTTGAATAGCTACAAAGACTAATAATAATAATAACTGACACTTCATTGTGCTTATATATCCGGCATGATTCTATTCATTCTTTTTTATAAGCAAGCATGACAATGGAGGTCATTCACGTATATTACTTTTCTGTATCCACTGTACCAGTTTCTATTGAAACATTATCTACAAGCCCTGTGACTTCCTGTACAGAAATTTACTCAAGTTTATTGGACTTTGTAACTTGCTTTGTCCTACTTTTACAGTTATCTTTGTTTTCTCTGCCTTTATTTCATAGAAATTACTTTAACATTAGTTTACACTTTGGCTTGCTTCTTACTTTTGCGGTCATTGAAACACCATATTCACATGGGCTGTTATGGTTCCCGTATTAAGGAGTGGGGCTTTATTTCCCCATGCAGGTGTATATTTGAGCATTTTGCTGCCTGCTTTATATCAGCTTCTGTTGCTACTCATACATTTCTATAGGGATATAGGATGTTTTACTTTTTCTCAGGGGAGGAAGGGGAAGTTTGTGGTGGCCAGAGCACAACTCTTTGGTTCTTTGAAACTTGGAGCTCTAATTAAAGTTCTCATTTAGCAACATGTGGAGACCTGAATTCTTTTTGGAAGGCCTGTCCTTTGTTATGTGAAAACCACCCTAATGGGCCTTTCCATTATAGGAACTGAAGCAAGTTCTCACCTAACCCAATCTTTTGGGGAAAAACTGTGACATCACAATTAATCTGAAAGTAGGTGTTCTAGAGTCATGCTGAGCAGCCAAGGAAGCTGGTGTGTTAATAGCTGTGTATTTGTTAAGTCATGTTGCAATTTGGCATTCAAGGTAGCTCCGAGTTTTCCTAGATTCCAAATGAATATTTATTGAAATGAAAGTACATTACAAGTGGTTTAAGATGAGAAAACTTGAAGAGAGGATTGAGAACCAGAAATCAAGATAATGGGAGCTCTGAAAGCAAATGGAATTAATTACAATTTCCCTCTTGATTCCATTTCATCCATAGAAGCAGAAATTTCTCCATGAAAATTTTGTGCAATACTGAATGACTCAGGGCTCATGGATCCTTTTGGAGTTTTTGTCCCTTCACAAAAATAAAACTTTTTAAAGATCATAGTAGGTACTTAAATACTTGTTGATTTGATGGGAGATTTCATTTGCTGGGAAAGAATTTAGTTCAAGCTCGTCTATAAAGTCCTTGAGAAATGAATGCACTATTCAAGGTGGATTATATCCCAATGTACACACCCTGACTTGATAGAGTGGCATTAGCTAGAGGTTTCCAAGTTTCCATTCTTTAAATCCGTAAAAGAAAGGAAACCCAGACTCTTCAGTTTAGCTTCTGCATTATCAATAAACTCCTTGGAGGCTCTCTGCAGTGGGAGCCGGGGTGGGCCCATTGGAATCCCAGACACCAGAGTCATGATGGCTTTGGTCTGTGACACTCCAAAACCTATACAGAAAAAAATAAAGGAGGCAATGTGACTGGCACTGTCCACTCCACCACAAACACCCACAAGAAGAGATCACATTCTTACAGTGACTACTACGACAGCGTAAGGTGAGCTAAAAGATGGGAACGTTTCTAGTCAATGTGGCAGACTGAGAAGACAGGGAATCCCTCTTCCTGCTTCAAATACATAGGAATGCTGGGGGGGGGGGATGTTTTAAACAAATTGACAAGCTATAAAATAAAATGAAGTAAGACTCAAAGTTAACCTCAAAAGCAAAAAGGAGGCACCAAAGTTATCAGGGATAAAGAGGTCAGAGTAGTGAAGAGCTGAAGTCGAATGGTCCATGAGAATAATCTGATTCAGGGGTATAGTGTGGTTGATCAAATGATATAGGACTTCATCGCTAGGACAGAATTTAGTTCAAGCATGTCTGAGAAGTCCCTGAGAGATGCACTAGTTAAGGTAGTTTGTAACTCAATGTTGTTGTTCTGGGCTGGTGTTATAAAGCTGGGGCAGGAAAGCAAGAGGAAGCCTTGGGTCTGTGCATAGCAAAGAGCTGGACTCAAATTCTCTGTGTTAAAGTGGTAGCCAGCCTTCTATGAAAAGCAAAAGATAAAAAACCTGGCCCACTGACTTAGGGATGGAGGCACAGCTCTTGACTTCTGCCTGGGCTGTGGATGGAAAATGATCACATGAAAGAAGCCCCAAGCCCGTGCCATACATGAATGATAGATCCATATTTGCATTATGCACCTGATGTAGGAACCAGACTAAGAAATAACCTAAAGACTGGTTAGAACTGGTGAAATTACGTGTCCTAGCAGAGGCTTGATGGGACACCTCACAACCTGGAGCTCAGTGGGTTGCCCAGAAAACAAGAGTCTCTGAAGATGCATTCAGTTAAAAATGACAGAGAACATGAGGGAAACGAAGCTGCGTGAAAGCCAGCAAATGCACAATTAGCAAATTTCACATCCTGTGAACTGATAGAGAATTCTGGAAGAGACTTCACAGGGGTAAAAGAAAGAAGTAGAAGCCATGGGCTAAGAAAGGGGCATAGAAATTAAGAATAAGAAGACTTGAAAACAACAACAGCCTTAAAGAAATACTGGAAATGAAAAATATGTAATCAGTGAAACTAAACATAGCTAATGATAGAATTAGTGTTTTTGAAGGTAGGTCTCAGGAAATAACCCAGAATAGAGAAAAAGATATTAGTTTTCTTAACCTGCTATTGCTTTTGGATTCATGGTACAATAGAAGAAGTAACTTCCTTTTGCTAAATTAACTTAGTTAGAGTAACAGTTTATCATTGGGAAGGAAAATGCTAGAATGACTAAATAAATAGCATATAGTTTGATGAGTGCAAAATGACCCATGTTTATTATGAATGGTGGAATAGGGAGCTACCTTCATGATAGGACTACATGTTTATTAAGATAAGTTTCTCTTTGACTAAACCATGATAACTCAACTCCAACTCCCAAGAAAGTCTGAAATGAGCTTTTTAAGATGTGTTCTTTGAGAACATAATAACTATCTTCAAAAAAAAAAAGCACAATAAAAGCTATCTTCAAGAGTCCCCTTTTAAAATGCAAATATTCTGGCAAAGTTAATCCTTCAAGCTAATATCTTAGAGCTATGTTTTGTAAAACTGTTACAGTATCACTGCTGATATGCAAAACAATCATATATACAGGTAAACTTTTAGTTCTTTTAAAAAGTCAATAGTTCAATATCTACTTCAATGCACTTTAGGAACATATAACTATCATACCAAACCCACAATTTTGTAAAAAAGTATTGCTTAGGGCAAGGGAATAACAATAGGTCCTTAATAGTACTGTTGGCACACAAATATGACAAAAATGAAAGTGGTAAAGCAAATGGGAAACACTGTTCTTGAAGGATTAAGAGAGCTAGCTGAAAACCCAGTGAGAATGAGGGAAATAACACATTCTAGGTACTTCGGGGTTGCTAGGGTGAGTCAGAAAGGCTCTGAAAGGGAGGTGCAGGAGGTTTGCCAAGAATAAGCCTAAACTTTTCTTTTTTAAATATATTTTATTGACTTTTTTACAGAGAGGAAGGGAGAGGGATAGAGAGTTAGAAACATCGATGA